TGCATTTTGAATATTTATCAGGGATTCGATTGCCGTAATGTGCAAATTTTTCCTTTGCCAGGCGGGGACGAATGTCGAACCAAGATTATAGGGGTAACCATCATCTTCAGTGGATCATGAAAGCTGGCGACCGATTTCGACGAACTCTTGCATGTGGTCATGAAGTGGTTAGATCGATCAAACGATTTGATATTGCACAAAAAGGCTGAATCGATTTTAACTGGACCATATGGACCGTATCCGAAGCGTGACCACAACTTGAAGAAGGCGGTGTATTATTACAGACTTGAGAACCCCGAAATTTTCAATCTCCATGTCCAGATAAAAACATCTCCGTCAGTAACCGCCGAATCCAGCATCTTTATGAATACAAAGGCCAACACTACCACTTCGTGTTAACTCGATATGATCGCTGAAGCATCATCCCCTTGACAGGAAACAACCGATCGCCCGACCTCGAAAGGAAAACTAATTCTTACTGATCTTACTTCAAACTGTTCGTAACATAACCCGAACGATTGGATCATACAGAAATTATCCATGAGAAGAAGCAAATGAGAACTGTAAATATCTCACTGTGAGTATGAAAAGCGCAAACGAGCGCCACGGTAAGGTCAGTATCACGCCCAACAGTTAACTACCCACCAAAGAAAAGAGGTGAAACAGACAGCACAAAAGAGGGAACTAGAGGAAGTGAGAGTAACTCCGTTCGAACCAACCTTCCGGTTTGAGAGTAACGATCCATTGCCGGGCTTCCGCTTTACTTTGACAGAGTCGACCGCCGAAATAAAAAGACATATCAATTTTATTCCATTCCAGAACATTCGAAGGTAAATTCACAATTAACTAAAATTGAAGTAAACGAAGAGTGAGAAATGGAATATTGTATTTATAAATAACGATAAAATGAATTGATATTAAACAATTAAAGATGATAAAATGGATAGGTAAGTGCCGGAGATATACAAGCTAAGATGATATCAAATGAAATAAAAAGAGATTGGCTTATAACGTTTATAAAAGATTTGGTTCCTTTACATTTTTTTTTTATATCGGCGTAATGACTCCTAACTGGAGAGTTAAGTAGCAGTAAGACTTAAAAACAAAGAAAGGCTACCTATAGAATTGAATAATAAAAACCATTAAATATACAAAAAAAAAAAAAAAAAAAAAAAAAAACTATAATTGAAAACTGAATCGTCATATACATATAAGTTAAACAGTTCAATGGATAGTCTTGATCTAAACAAAAATCGTAACAGCCAGAGGACTGCACTGAAGGTTATTAACTTCCAGATTATAACTAACAAAAAAAAATGTTTCTTAAGCCAATACTTTGAAAAACGAAGGAGTTGTGTTGACGTGATAAATATATACAAAATTCTCATCAAAATGAACGCAGATTTACAGTTGTGTGTTCTTAAAAATGCGGTAAATACATTTCAACAGAGTTGTAATCTGTAAACAAACGAATGCAAAATGAAATCTGATGCCATAGTATTTTCTTTTATTTTTTTTTTTTTTCTTTTCTTAATGAAGTTACCCATATAAGTATATAAAAGAGAAGAAAATATAAGCTACAAACTTTTCAGAAAATCACTTGTATCGTTAATAAGTGTACTATAGCATTTCACTTGCCAGCCGATAACTTAGTTATGTGCTTGTACGTAGCCGATCTTAAAGATATTTATAGTTTTTCCGATGGTTCATTTTGTCATAGTTAATTGTATAGAAAATGAGCCAAAGCAGCAGCAAAGGTTATTTAAAATAAAAGGCGACTGTTTACGCAGTCACCTTTTAGCCATACATGCCGTTTTATTCTTTTCTTTTTTGTTATTCTTATTCTTCATATTATTAGTTCATTGGTCAAAAATCATTTGCACTTAATCTAGAATTAGACAGTAACAGAAGATGTTGTTTGATTCATGTCAGCATGTTTACCAATACATCATTTAGCTATTGACGGCACCGACTATCCTATGCTGACTTCCACTTCACACACTTTTATATACTGTAACAGACGCGCACAGACAGCAAATAATTTAGTTTTGGTATAAATGCAGCATTTTAAGTGAAAAATTAAAAGATAATACACACATAAGCCACGTCTTATTCATTTTTCATTCATTCACGCGGCGCTCGGGTTCAAGCGTCGGAACCTCATTCTAAATAATCAAAAATCCAAAATACTCCACACAACTTTCTCTGCTTGGATGGCACTAGCTATCAGAGGATTTGTGGATATATGTGGATTATAAAGAATTAATAAATTCGCTGGTTATTTACTATATATGCGTATAATCATTTAAGAATTTTTCTTATTCTACAGTACTTGTGGTATAGGGTTTATTAAGTTAGTCCAGACGTATATAACACGCAGAAAGGTTTAAGATAGATCCACCTTTTATCATATCGATCGACTCAAATGTCAATCCATGTATTTTTGTGGCGAACGCTACTAAAAATGGTTCGGTTTTTCGACCACTCTTCGTATAGCGCCTTATTGAACATATATAGGCACAATCACGAAACACAAACTGTTATATGGAAAGCAAGTCGAATTTTCCAAAATGCTTACTTTCATGAAAACAATGTGTATTTTTTGATGTATTGTTGCCTAAACGAGCAAATAACTGTAACAGCCGAAGTGGTATAGGGCATTCAATAGTCGGTCTCTGTCCGACTATAATATTCTTATAATATTCTATTCATGAAGAAATCGTTATTTCATGGCGGTAAGAGCAATATGTTAAGTATGTTAAGACGCTTGTAACGGTTCAAATTAAAGTTGCCACCTTAGATTGACGTGAATTCATTTTAGAGATAAATTTAGAGGAAATAATTATTTGATAATTAAAGATAAGGAGTAAGAAAATGTTATAATTAGTTAAAAAGAAAAATTTGCTTTGCAACTTTTGTAGCGAGAATAAACCAGAAACGAGTTAATAAAAAGCCACATGGCTTTTCCACCGTTAATTTATCAAATCTACTTAAATGCAAAATATAGAATTCAAAATATTCTCAAATTTTCACTTTTTTTTTTTTTCTTTTCACCGATCCTCAAATTTGCAAAACAAACATTTGCACTTCGTGGGAGTTAAACATTTTTGAAATGAATATAACTTTCATTTTACTATTAGGTATTACGATATAATTTCTTCGTTTTCCTCTTTATAAATCTTACTTAAATATCACTCATATAAGAAAGTTTTATTTTGTCACGCGGTATAAACAACTTTGTTTCTTTTATTGTTTTTTTAAACTAATTCTCCTTTTACGCATTAACCCTTTGCTCTCGAGGGCTCCGAAGCGGAGCCATTTAAAATTGGTCTTAAAACTTGAGGGCTCCGCTACGGAGGCATTGTAAATAATATGCAGTTCTTAACATAACAACAAAAAAAAATCATAAAAACTAATATTCGGATGTTTCGCTGTTGGTGAAAAATGACGAACGCGGCTCGCGGATTGTAATACGAATGAAAAAGGCTTCATTATAAAAATTACAAATCTTCAAGTTTCACGCCAAACTAAGTAATACTTTTCCTACCCAATTTATTAATTATTCATTTTTAATCAAATTTTTCCAATCATATTCACAACCTCTTATTCCGGGCGAAATGCATTGTGATTGTAAAATTGATCAAAGTTCTCATTGGCATAATTAATGTGGTACCGCGCAAAAGAACTTTGAATAAAATTTGCAAATCCAAATACACGTACATATCCAGCACACCCAAAAATGATTTCCTCCTCCTTCACGGCGGTTTTCACGTGACTGAAAAAAGATAAGTAAGGAGTTGCATAGAAAAAAATGCAATTCAAAAGAAGTGTTAGGTTTACTTGTACGACGAGAATCTAGCCAGTGTTTTCATCCGACGGAGCGAGTTGTATAACAATTTATGTATCTCAATAAAAACTTCATAAATAATTTGTTATTTTTACCCGAACACACAGGCATTTTGATACTCTTGTTATTTTCAAGGTACTCGGCAGTCGGATACGAGCAATAAATTTATTTTCTTAAAGCGAATACAATAGCTAAAGCCCCTCTATAAACTTGGCGAAAGAAATCTTTTTTCCCCCAACCAACTATTCGAGCTAAGACAACAGAAATTCACGAACGCGAATTTCGCCGATAAAACTGAGTTTAGTTTACTTTCATTTTAAACATTCATACTTTTGTTGATTTTATTGCTTTCACAAAATGTTCATCTTCATTCGTATTTCTTTTTTTCTCGGGATAGAGTCCCGGACAACTTCATCAAAGTAGTTTGTTATATAATGTTAATCACAATTGCTGGATAAGAAAACTTTTGAGTAAAAGCAATAGGTAATAAAGTTACTTTAAAGTGCTGAGATCGAAGCTTGTGTACCTATCACTATTCATTTATCGTACCATATATTGTAAGTTATTATTACTCGATCAGTATTAAGAAGCTTTACATGTTTTCCGATTTTATTTAGAATAAAACGGTAAAACTGAAAAATTTGATAAGTTACAATTTCGTGAGAATGTGAGTGATATGTTTTCCTATAAAATAAATTTAGTAAAATATCAGCTCTCTATTCTCTACGATCTACGAATAATGAACGAAAACACACAAATAATTTGCGCTTAGAGAAACAGAAATGCTTTCAGTTTGCACTTTATTAGGCATGTATCCTTTGACCGATATCGCGCATTTTCAATACCAACCTGCGTGCAAGAATTTCCAATGTTTCTGTTAAATTTAAAGTCGGCATCTGAAAAGATCACCCACGCAACGAGGCAAAGAGGACTAAATCAATTGAAAATGTCACGCCGATTAACTTACTACTTTACGTGGTCTCTAAAGCTTCCTTTTTTGTTTTGAAAATATTATGAAAAATGAGTAGATGGTGAGTATAAGCGAAGAGAAATAATTTAGAAAAATTACATTTACCTTAGGATATCTGTCAACCCACCAGGGTTGTTTTTTTTTTTTCTTATTTAATTAAAACGAAGTCAAACATTTTTTTCCATCACCTGACCGCTTAAAAAAGTATTATACAATATATTAAATTTCTATGGATAAATGCCATATACAGAAAGATTTACAGCAGGCTCAGCTTACGAATTAGAATGATTTTCTGGATCAGCGAAAATCTGTCTGATTATCTGCCTCCACCATACAAAACATTCATATCGAAAATAGGTTTTCAGGATCGAATCATTTTAATTTGGAAATTGCCCTGCGGCTAAGATCCAGGATCCAGCATTATTAGCCAACTTTAAGTTTAATCTACGTTTCGCGTTAAACATTGTCATTTTTCTGAGAATTGAGAATTTGTCGCGTCTCTTATGAAATATTAAGCTCTTTCCGATCATTGTCTACAACTTTCAATGAGTATTATTTGATTATCAGGTGCACATTAGAATCTGTGGGATGAACATTGCGAACAGCAGTAAAGCTCAAAGTTATAAGCACTATGTGCGTAATGTGTTAGACGAATATCCGCATTCTGTTTCACCAGACTTGATGAGGCGTCGTATTCTTGAAAATTTAAAGAATTTATCGAATTAAACGACACAGCGAGCTAATACAAAAAGCTATTATAGTTACTTTTACTCTTACCATCATTGCTGGCGCTTATAGGTCATCGTAATCCTCATTATCGGCATCACTCTCGTAATTGCAGCAAATCTTATTCGTGTAACGGTATACTGATGCTTGCTATTTTACTCTTGTCGATCTGTTTATGTTGTAGTTGCTTCGGAATATCTTTAAAAAACGTTTTTCTATTTTCTAAAAATAAACATTTTACAATGAAATCGTATACGATGTTAATATGAAGAACAAACCGATAGACCAGTCCTTTTTTATTGTATTACATAACTATGTTTGCTAAAACACGGGACTTATATCAATATAGTCAATACAGTTTCCATTCATTTGCTTTCCGTTTCCTTTAATTTAATAAAAAGAAAATACTTTTAGCTATGAACAGCCGATATAAAATGGGCGACTGACAAACGATTAAAGCCGAAAATAATACATAATAATGCATAATAATACATAATAATAATTGCAAAATTTTCTTGTATTCTTGTATTTGCCCATACGCGCTATATATACATATGCGCACGCATGCGTCGCGTGTGTATGTGCTCGAAATATTTGTAGTCACTTTGAACTAATTAAAATTAAAAGCCTAATAATTAGCATTATATTTGTCAATAAAGGAAATTTTTACAAACATATATACATACATACATAAATGAGTGTACATCAACTTAATAGCCGACCTAACGATATTTCGAAAATGACGACTATTTGTTTCTGATTTCATTTTCGTTTTATATTTTTCTAAATTCTTTTCTATTCTTTAACAATTTGCTTACCTTAACAAAATGCTTGTTTTAAGCAAACTCGACTATAGTTTAATCGATCATATATGACAACAAAAAGGTGTCAAATATAAATATCTTGAAACAGGTCGTATTCCTGCCGACCTAACTAAAAGGTTGAACACGATCACTACATTTTGAGCAATATATATGTTAAGCTACTATTTTGCGACTATTAAAATAATATTGATTATGTGCAATTATAGTAGTAGTCGTACGTATACATGGATACTGCATATCAATATAAATTTTTTAATTTTAAGGGCGTCAGCTCATTGACAGGCAAAACCAATATTTTACGGTTAATAATGCTAATTTTAAAAACTTTTATTTTTTCATATTGTCATTAAAATAATTTCGCTATGATAACCAAAAGAATTATGTATTAAATTAATGTAATTTAGTTGAACTTAAACTTAATTTAAATTTATTGTTTAGCAAAAAGTTAATTCTTTGCAAAAACAAATCGTTCGAAGAGCACTTAGTAGTCAATTGTGATGCATAAAAGATGCACGAAAAGAAGAATGCACATGTAACAATTTGATAAAGTAAACACAATTCCTTATTTTAAACACATATGACTTCAATCATGCAAATTGCATGTGGTACAGAGATTCTTGGCGACGAGCCTACAAATATAATTCCCAAATACTAACACAATTTTTACAGCGCATGCGCAAAATTTCAAACACAAAACTGACGAAAAATTTAAGAGAATATGACGATAACATCCAACTCGATAACTATAGTTTTTTAATGTCACCACTTGACAAGAAAGTTTTTTAAAAATTAGAGACAAAAATGTAAAATTATGAAAGCAAATCGCGACATCGCAAACATATAAATTACGCTTTACTAAGCTATTTTGGAACAAATACCATTTGTTGAATGATTGAGTAACATCTAAGTACCTGAATGCAATGAAGATTAATTACGTTTTTCGCGATAAAAGTTAACAGCACTGATTATTATTAGTATGGCGTTAGCTAGATTTCATTTTCGAGTTTTGAGTTTCTTTGCACAAATGGTACGAGAATCTGTTAAGTCATTTCAAGCTTATGCTTTGCGTTAGTATTAGTTGTTTAGAGTTGCATTTGTAGGAGAAAACAGCTGTAAATTGCATATTAAATAAATTCCAAACAAAATCGTTTACTCAGAAACAGTTGAACTAAAACGAAAAATTCTTAATTTTTGAAAGGTAGATAAATTTATTTATTTATTATTATTAATTTTTTTTTGATTTTTAGTTCAATTGTCTTAATTCGCCAAAGCTTGTAATCGATTGTGTCCCATTAATCTTCCCGTCTTCACGTCATCACGTATGGTTGCTATCATTGGTAAAGCGAAAAGAATCAAGAAATAATAGAAACTCATTACTCTAGTGAATATATTGATTTAATCGTCAGCGTACCTAATCCATTTCGCTACACAAAAACAAAAAAAAGGTACATAAAATGTTGCCACTTTACAATCAAGTAATGTTAACGAATATATATATATATACATCAAACCGAGTGGTTACTTTGTTCATCTTACGTTATGTAGTTGGCGAGGAACATCGAGATGCGCGGAAAAGGAATCTTGGAAGTTATAGAAGCGTTCTAAGGGACGCATTAAATCCTCTTACTTTACCCTAAAATTTAGATGTGAATGATTTTATATATTTGCCAATAACGTAAACTTAATTATAGATATTGTTACATGTTTGGCGTATCAAAAGAAGCTTTTGAGTACATTGTAGGAAAAATCGGTGCGAATAACTTTTCGTGACTCGTTCCTTAACAACGAACGATAATTGAAATATTCTTTATATCTATTTAAGTGATCGAATGCCCGCACATATTTATAAATAGTTTACTCGTAAGATTAGCGATCACATAAAAATTGCGGCAGTAAAAATTTTGATTTCCTGGATTAAGGCAACTTATTTGGACAACAGTATCGACGTTTGGCTAGAGGGATGTGTCAATTGCGGCAAATACGTTAACAAATAAGTGCATGCATGTTGTCTGAATTTTGAAATTGAAATGTATTGAAATAAAAGCTATAACGAATCATATAAAAAATTTGCTTTGTTTTTTAATATAATATAAACCTAAATTTCAATTTGCAACTAACTTTAAAACGCTTTACATTGTTTATTAATAAATTAATTCGTTAATATATAGATATGTATATAAGAAAAATAAAATGATATTAAATCCAAAGTTCAAGTTCATAGTGAAAATATTGAGTGAATTGTTGTAATTTTTCTCGTTTATATGATCTTGTGATTGAAAGCGTTAAGCTGTTTGTTTGTAAACAAGCAAGCATAGAATTTCGAACGGCGAAAGCCATACATAATTCACAACTAATTGACTTTTGAGATACGGCATTCAAATGAAAGCAAGATAACTAAAAGGTACTTAATACGGGCCCATATGTTTTTTTTTTTTTTTTTTTCTTAACAAATGAGATGGTAACACGGTTTCTGATTTTGTTTATCGCTTGAGACTTATTTATCCGAAAAACGTAATTACGCTTCAATGCGCTTACTCCCTTCATCATGGTCACATATTATATTATAGCCTTAGGTAATTCAATGTTAAAAGAGTGCTCTGTTCGTTTAATGTTTTGTAATACTTGCAACTGTAGGTAGATAAGTTGTGATAGATGGTTTAAGATATTAAAAATTTCGAAACAATGCAAAAGAATGCAAAGTCCCAAATAGACGCATTGCTATATGAGATGTTAGCCATAAACAAGTAAAAAACTTATTGACAAATTGAGACGAATATGGTCTAGAAATATAAAATATGTTATATTATATACGTGATCCCCTTTTTAATGGGCTCCGTCATACATTCGACTGAGCAGTTAAATTCTCCTTTTCTAAGATTTTGTTCCCTATTTTTCTACATGCATTCATATTCGAAATATTTTAAGAACAAAAACACAATATGTCGGATTGTAGTTAAGTACAAATATTAAAGATTTACAAATAGTATAAGAAATTACAGCGAAGGCAACAATAGTCAATTAGGTTAACAGATGGTTAATGTCGTGGACTCATACAGTAATAAATTAAATTAAGAGAAAAGTGTATAAAAATATGGACTGCTTAAAAAATCGATTTTCATTTTAGGCTTAGTGGCGGTTATTGCCATTGCCTGGATTATGGCAGAGATGGAGATGATATGATTAAACCACCACGTACGACCATGTAGCCCTTCAGAGCACAATTCGTTGCTTGCTACTTATTTTGATGGCAATGATCATAATCCTCGCTCTGACAACGACCAACGAAGACAAAGATGGTTTGATAAGAATGTATGAATTAAAACAATAAATTTAATATGCTAAATGAAAATATTGTAATCTAAGCAACAGCGACATTATATTATGGCAAATATGCAACAAAAAAAAAGAATGTTTGCTATACTAAGAACAGCTTAACGAAGCAGAAAAAAGGACACGAAAGTGAAAGTAAGCTGTGATCATCTAATATGAAAGTAAGTTGGGATGCGATCGGCGCTGTTGGTCCCAAACCGATTCGATTTTAAATAACGCACAAAATCGTCAAGAATTGGCTGCATCCAGAGAATATACTTGAATAATACAAAACAATTTGAAGAAGACAAGAGCGATGAAATATATATCGAAGTATATATTGTACATGTAACGTCCTGCGGAACCTTATAAAAATTTGACAGCAGTGTAGAGATAAAATAATTAAATTTTCTAATAATAAAATTTTTTAAAACTTTTTTTTTTTTGCTGCCAAATTTGGAGCATTGACGTGTGTTCGTCTAAAGATGAAGCCCATTTCTTGTTATTTATTACGGTCTACATAGTAAGGTTCATCCTTATTACAAATTAATGAGCAAAATAATATTTTCATCGCTATCTAGATTACGATCCATATATAAATTGAAAAAACGAGAGACAAAAGATGATCAATTAATCTAATGATTAGTTACATTATAATGCCTTGTCATTAAGCATTTAAACCCGCAGCAGCAACAATCCAGCCGATGGTAATGTGTTTCTTGATGTGACAGAGTCTATGAAAGTGTGTCTTAGGCTAAAATAATTTATTTGTGTAATTTTCATGCCAAGGGCACGATTCTTTGTTCTTGATCTATATATTAACTGAAACACAGCAACTTTGAATTTCCATACCGCACTTGCCTCACAACTAGGAAATAATTCACACTCAAATAAAGGCCTTCAGAGAAGATAAGTTTTCGCCAACAGTCACCATACGCTTAATTAGTAGTATACTACTATGGGTTGACCGTAACTTGATGTATGTTTTAGCAGTGACGTTACTGATGGAGTTGCCCTAATTTAGCTTTGAATACACCTATTTTCTTAGGCTTAAAACTTTCTCAGCGCACCGAATCAGGTGGCTGTTTACAGCTATGCCTAAATCACTGGAACTTCTTAGTGACATTTAAAACAATCTTTCCATGAGAAAGTATTGAGATTTGTCATATTTCTTGAGAAAAATTTGGCAGAAAATAGAGGCGAAAAATTTGAATCGGATGGGATGGGATAATTTTTTTCAATACCTTTTTACGTAGACATTCCCATGAATATGATAAAAAGATCTCAGTTTTAATATTTAATGATGAAAATTGCACTAAACTCATTTCATACAAGACTTAATTGTAGCATATTTGAAGGATATCGATCTATTTCTTGAACTTCGCGATTTATTATTAAAAGAATGGTTGAAAAGTAAATTAAAAAAAATTGATAACAAAATGTTACTTTACTTGGTTGAGGGATATTGGTGAAAGAAAACTTTCACATACATTTGCCCAACTTCCCTAACCATCAAGCAATAAAATAGAATGTTTGGAAAATTTCGGCACACGAGCGAAATTTCGAGTGTGTCTACCTTGTGTCTAAACGTCTGAGACCGCATTCAAAAATGAAACAGCAAAGCAAACATATGTTTTGGTAAACACACCACACATATTCTTCATGTACATATAACAAATTATTTTCATATATTGCCTAGCAGCGGCATTGCATATTTTGCGATTTTTATAAAAATGAGGAAAGAAAACAGTCTCAGCAAAATATGAATTAACTATCAATTAAAAAGAAAGAAAAGTTGTTAGCAAAATTTTGTCCAAATTTATTTTGAAGCAATCAATAAATCCGTAACCAATTATTGTTTGTTTGCTTAGATATGTCGGAAATAATGATCAGGCATAGACATTGAGTATATTTTTTTGAAAACTAAATATATATAGTTTTTCTAACCGAATCTTAATACGTGCATAAATCAAAATATATAATAATAATTTTATAAATAAATAAATTGAAGGAGTAACGGGACAAAAAGAAGAAGAATATGCCTACACCGCGCACATTTGGTCGAAACAAAAAGCCACCTTTCATCATTGACAATCAGAGTTCAGATGCAAATAGATCCGGAACGAATTTAACCGGAATGCATTTAAATTTAGGTGAAGGCTCTCCGGCGCAACCATGCAAACTGCCATTTTGGTGGTCCTCACTACCGCAAGCAGTCTCAAAAAAAGGTTCCAAAGGTCGAAAGTAAGTGCACGAATACATTAATATAAAGAAAACGAATGCCTATAAACGGATGCCTATGGAATTTGTCATCATAGATAACCATATTAGATTTTAAGATTACACTAATATTTAATTCCATTTATATTAATTTTTATTGTTATGGTGGAAATATTGTGGAAAAATTTGGAAAATTTTATTTCATTATAAAGCTATGTGCTTTTTATATATTTCTCTATCTGTCCTCGGATCAGAGAAATATTTACATATTGTTTAACTGGCCGAGAATTACCTTTTATTTATAATAAACTTCTAATGTATGGATACGTGTGCTCTCTGAGAGATACCGATTGCGCACTTAACTATGCCGAAAACCTAGGCAATGTTTCTCACTTGCAGCACCAAATTTTCTTTACTACGTTATTTGCTTATTGCATTGCAGTATGCTAACACCAGCTAAATCACATATGGAACTTTTAATAAACAATGCTTTATAATCTCTATGTATATGACGTTTCCAAAAACTTGTGGTATAAGGATATTTTAAGTTTTTGTGGATAAACTTATTTATTATTAAACATGTCCGTCTCTCTGTCTAATTTGTTTTCTTGTACTCAACCTAAAGGTCGCAATTTTCCAACTATTTTGATGATATTCTGTACGATACCGAAATGTCTTGGCCCGAGAAAAAACCTTATTGAAAATCGTTCAGATCGAACTATTTTTTCGGTCGCGCTTCCCATATAACACCTTGTTTGGAAAAGTTACTATATTTTGTGTAAATATAGGATTGTGAAGGGTATTTAATTGTGGGCCGTGTTGCACTATAGTGTTTTCGCTTGTTTCTTATTTATTTATTTACTTCTTTCTCCAATAAGTCATTTTTAACGAAACATATATAGCAAGTTCGGATGTGTTAGGGTAATGCAAACTTTGAGGAAAATTTTAAAAACATATCGTAAATCATTTACTGGTGAAGTAAGTCAGGCTTCTGAATATTTCGGTATATGTTTAATGCAAATAAAAAAAATTTTATCATCATAAAGCGTGTGAGCAATTGTAGCGGACGAACTTCATTCTGCACAATTAGCGTAGCGAAATGAACCAAATCCCCTTCCACTGTTACGAGAGCAGTAGCAGTTACAAGTCTATGTTTTTTGTGAAAGGAATAGAAAGATTTGAAATGGCTGATATTAGAATTCGGTTCGCGTAGGGCTATAGTAAAATAAGCTTCATTAAATAGTAGTACTTTCATCAATTTTGATTCTTCTGTATTCCAACCATTTGTCTAATCTCGTTAAAGGGACAACATCACAATGGTATGACTATCATATCACATTTAATATTTATAATATAATATAATATATAATATAATAATAATATAATATATAATAATAATATATAATAATAATATATAATATAATATTATATATAATTTTAATACTAATATGCGTTTTAATATTAGTGCTCTCATGCGGACTATGGACTACATTAACTATTAGACACAGTCGAATATCTTATAATGTGTACACACACTAATGATGATCAAAAGAAAGCGCGAAGGTATTACAGAAACATTGCTTAGAAATACATACGCCCAACTCTTTTTTTACACGATTTTGAAATAATACAACAATATGCTGCTCTTATGGACTGCATTCCCACTGTGCAGTAATTTAAATTTTTTTTCTTGTAATAAAAATTTGCTGTTTATGTTTTATAAATGTGTAATAGAGATTTAATTATTGCCTTTTTTCCACGGGGTTTTTCACGATTTTTTAAAGTTGTGAAACATTGTCCACAAATTTATCTATGATGTGACGCAAGTACTTTTTTACATCATTTTTTTGAACTGTTTTCTAGGGAACATAACTACCGTGGAAAAAAAGAGTTGGGCGGTATTTTTATTTTTCTTAGTCCAGTCCAAAGACGAGTTGATTAAAGGCAAATAAAAATCACGTCAAAAATATTTTTGAATATATTGATACATAAAATAAGGGACTTGGATCTACTCACGACTCCCCATTTCCTATGGTTTTCGTAGTAATTTTATATTAAGGAATTTCTCTAAAATAACGGTACTACAGATTATAATAGTTTAACATAACATTTTTTTTAATTTTGTTGCGTCTCACTCACAAAAAATAACAAGAACTTATCTTGGCTATTGGGCTAACAAAAGATACTGAGGACATGCTCACCTCATAAAGATTCATTCAAATCCATATTGAAATATCAACGACTCTCTCTTTTCACTCATTACTCATAGTAAAGATCAATGTTCTGTAAAATGAAAAAAAGACTCAATATCTGTCTAGTAAGGTTATGAAAATCTATCTGTATATATCTGTACATATCTACGCCTATATGTAAACATATATAGATGTATATGCATATATACATATAATACTACCATTTCTATTGCAAAATTGTCTACTTTGCTATACAGCCGTCGAGTATTTAAAGCGAAACAATTAAATGCATTTTATTTTCTACTTTTTATTGAGTTAGACGCAAACGAGCTACTATTACATTTGCACATATGTTTACGCATATAGCCATGCAAATAAATCAGGATACATGCAAACCATTGTAATTTATTTTTGCGCTTCCGGTCTTGTTGGGAGCTGGTAAAAAAAAACCATTTAAAATGTACAAGAAAAAAATCATAGGTCACGAGTTCAAATATTTCAATGCTGCTAGCATATGCATATATTACATTTTTCTATTCTTATTATTATTATTAAGGTCTTTCAAACTTCAGCAAACACTTAACTATATTTTCCGTTTCCCTCTGAAATGCCCCAAAAGATTTAAATTTGCCTTAACCATATGCAAGAAAGACAAAGAGCATGAAGTAAAATTTCGTAAAATTTATTTTTCTTCCTTATTATATATTATTGTAAAACTTCAGCCATAATTATAGGCGAGAGCAAAAAAATATCAGAGTTAATCATGTCCGAATGATGTAATCTTCTCTTTTACGTGGGGTATTTTCATTCAATATCTGTACGATCTCTGATTAAATAAATTAAAACGTTATATTATTATCTTCAATCAATTTTTAGTTGACAAAAGCGAAATAATTTATTAACTTGAGCACGAAAGGTCATAAGTTTGAAGGTCTCCTCCGTTGTTGTTCATTACTTTAACAACGAAATGTAATCTAATCAAATGATTGGTCATTAACTATTTTGTTGTTTATGCTTACAGAGAACCACCGCCTCCTGAGCCATATAAGAACGTTATGTATGACAGAAGGGTGGTCAAAGGTCCTAATTACGGGGTGAATTCACTTTTGGTAAGCGCAAAAAGCAATAAAGTTTCTGAAATTAACTTAATTCACTATTTTCCATATAGACTAACTGGGAAAGATTTTCATATTAAAGCAACTGATGTCTAATGGGAACACATATATATTATATAATGTACACTGCCTTCTATTTAATTTTTGGATCGTAATTTGAGAAAAATCGAAGATTAAATTTTTTTTTTTTTTTTTTTTTTTTTTTTTTGGTAATAACGGGCGAAGTCATAGATCGGTTAGCTAATTAGCAAATTTACCCTCCGCAATGGGATAAGATATAATCGTGTTATTCCAGTTTATTTTGGGAAAAACATGAACTGAACGCGTTTTCACAAGATCCGTCGGTCAATATCTAATATATGCAATATATGAGAAACTACGTTTTAAAATATTGATAACCATTTTGCTTTTTTTCATGCCTAGGTGGAATATGAACTACCGAATAAATTCAACGAAGTAAGAAGGCGATTGACACTACGCAAAAATTTTAATTGCCAGAAAAATTTACGAAATGTTTTAGGAACACCGCCACCTGTGCACGGCCGACATCATGAAATTATGCAAACCGATAAATATTTAGAGGAATTGGTATCACACCCGCCCGAGTTCGATGCCGAAACTCAGACAGATTTGTTTCTTGAGCAACCAGCTCAACCATCTTACACACCGGCGAAAATTGGAATAGATGTCGGAACGGAAATTGGCGAAGGAGAACTCTTCCACTTTGATGCGGAAGCTGAACCAATTATTGAAGCCATGATCGACAGCATAATTGAGATGACGGTACTAGAAATGGCTCATGAACGCGAAATCGAATCTATACGCAGGCGACAAGATAAGTGAGTATAACATAATAAAAAACAATAAAAAAGAAGGAAAACATTTTTCAAATATTTTTTAATTGCGGAATTTATAGGCTGCTTGCTCAACGTGAAGCTGAGTTGGCGGAATTGCGTCGATTGGAAGACGAAGAAATACGTCTAAGGGCAGAAAGAGAAAGACGCGTACGACAAGATGCCATTGCCAAGTCAGTGGGCGATGAAATCCAAAAGGAAGTTATCGCCGCCAAAATATTGCAAGGACACATTGCCAGCATTCTTCCAGAAATTTTGGATAATCTTGAACCAGCCGCCGATGCAATCAAGCGCCAAAAACTAATTGATAGCCTTTGCCCGTGGTTGGCGGCTGGCGTTTCTGAGAAAGTTGGCCAGATTGTCGACTGCCGCGAAATTCTTAAAAATCTTATTAAACAGCTTGTCGAACAAAGGGCCGAAATTTATGCTGACTATCGTGAAGAGGGAGGAAAAATCGAAGTTTCCTACGAAAGCGTACATGAAGAATGTGAAATGGAATTGTGCAAGGAAGAATCTAATACTGGCCCGGGTTGTTCCTCTGCAACGTGATGCTCTGCACTTGACCTCACAATCTCGTTTTATAAGAGAACAGAAAGATTTTCGAAATTTTTATTTCTTCGGTTTTCTAAGCACAGTGAAACCATTACAAATTGTTAATAATTTTTGGTCGAAAACGTAACCATTTTGTGTACTAAAATCGATAAAAATCGTTCATTACGGCTTCATGGCAGAAATCGCAATAAATGAATTTTCTTTTCTTTTCCGTAGTTAATACGCAAACAATGTATCAATCGTTTATAATGTAAATATTAAGGAAACATATATAAGTTGAATAAAATTCAAAACATATGTAATGGTGACGTTAAATATTTTATTGCAAATTTTCCACTTGCCACTACATGCCAGGCAGGATTTATTCTAATGCTACAAAAATTTTGTTCACAATAGATAGGATAAACCGTTTAGTCGTTAGTAAGAAGAACGCATGACGAAAAT